CAACGGTATTTTTAAGGTAGTTCTGTCATATGCCAGTTATCAGCAGGTGGAAACTATGTTAGCTCTCCCTGTTCCGTTTTTACATTTCTTTAATTGTGCAGTAACTAGGATGACTAAATGTCTGGACTTTCTCTGGATATTTCCAGTTTAGACCTGTTGTCACAGTACAATTATTAGTAATGCTCCCTTCACTATTAAAAGTTTGAACAATGAATTCTGTGGTCACTCTAGATATATCATATGTACAGAAAAGTGCTATAAAAATGTATGGTCAGTTTAAAGAATAACTATAAAGAACACACTTGTCTAACTACCATCGCAGTCAAGAAATAGAACATTGCCAGCCACTAGACGTCTCTTCTTCAATGAACAACTCCTTCTCTCTTTATTAGAGTTAACCACTATCCTGATTTTATGGTAATTATTTTATTGTTGTTTTTTAAACTAATGAAAGCTAAATTATCAAAGCCTAAAATGTCCTATGAAGATTTTTCTTTGAATGATTTTATATATATGTATATATACATATATGTGTGTATATATGTATATATATACGTGTGTATATATGTGTATATATATACGTATATGTGTATATATGTTGTGCATATATGTATGTGTGTATATACGTGTATATATACATATATAGTTGTTTTGTTGTGTGCTGTCAAGTTGATTCCAACTCATAGTGACCCTATAGAACAGGATAGAATTGCCCCATAATGTTTCCAAGGTTGTAATCTTTATGGAAGCAGACTGCCACATCTTTCTCCTGTGGAGTGGCTGGTGAGTTCAAACTGCTGGCCTTTCAGTTAGCAGCCCAGCACTTTAACTACTGTGCCACCAGCGCTCACTGTGTATGTGTGTATAGGTAATTTCATATTTATGTTACTGATAGATATCTTTGAAAGTATATTTGTATTTTATTATTATTTTTTTTATTTTTTTTATTATACTTTAAGTGAAAGTTCACAATTCAAGTTAGTCTCTCATTCAAAAATTTATACATACATTGTTATGTGACCCTAGTTGCTCTCCCTATACTGTGGCAGCACACTCCTCCTTTCCACCCTGATTTTCTGTGTCCATTCAACGAGCTTCTGACCCTCTCTGCCTTCTCATCTCACCTCCGGACAGAAGCTGCCCATTTAGTCTCATGTATCTAATTGAGCTAAGAAGCACACTCTTCACGAGTATCATTTTATGTCATATAGTCCAGTCTAATCTTTGTCTGAAGAGTTGGCCTCGGGAATTGTTTTAGTTCTGGGTTGACAGAGAGACTGGGGGCCGTGCTTTCTGGGGATCCTCCAGTCTCAGACCATTAAGTCTGGTCTTTTTACTGGAATTTGAGTTCTGCACCCCACTTTTCTCCTGCTCCATCAGAGACTCTGTTGTGTTCCCTGTCAGGGCGGTCATTGGTGGTAGCTGGGCACCATCTAGTTCTTCTGGTCTCATGCTGATGCAGTCTCTAGTCTATGTGACTCTGTCTGTTTCTTGAGCTAATACTTTTCCTTGTGTCTTTGGTGTTCTTCATTCTTCTTTACTCCAGATGGGTTGGGACCAGTTGATGGATCTTAGATGGCCGCTCACTAGCCTTTAAGACCCCAGAAGCCACTCACCAAAGTAGGATGCAGAACATTTTCTTAATAAACTTTGTTATGCCAGTTGACCTAGATGTCCTGTGAAATCATGGTCCCCAGATCCCCGCCCCTGGTACTCTGTCCCTCGAAGTGTTTGATTGTATTGAGGAAACTTCTTAGCTTTGGTTTAGTCCCATTGTGCTGACTTCCCCTTTAGTGTTTGCTGTCCTTCCCTTCACCTAAGATAATTCTCTTGTGTACTATCTAGTTAGTGAATAACCCTCTCCCTCCCTCCCCACCCTTGTGACCATCAAAGAATGTTTTCTTCTGTGTTTAAACCTTTCCTTGAGTTCTTATAATAGTGGTCTTATATAATATTTGTCCTTCTGTGACTGACTAAGTTCACTCAGCATAATGTCCTCCAGATTCCTCCATCTTATAAAGATGTTTCATGGATTCATCATTGTTCTTTATCATTGTGTAGTATTCCATTGTGTGAATATACCATAATTTGTTTATTCATTTGTCCGTTGATGGGCACCTAGGTTGTTTCCATCTTTTTGCTGTTGTGAACTGTGCTACAGTGAACATGCATATATCTATTCGTGTGATTGCTCTTATTTCTCTAGGATATATTCCAAGGAGTGGGATTGCTTGACCATATGGCACTTCTATTTCTAGCTTTTTAAGGAAGCGCCAAATCAATTTCCAAAGTGGTTGTACCATTTTATATTCCCACCAACAATGTATAAGTGTTCCAGTCTCTCCACAACCTCTCCAGCATTTATTATTTTGTGTTTTTGGATTAATACTAACCTTGTTGGGATGAGATGGTATCTCATTGTAGTTTTGATTTGCATTTCTCTAATGGCTAATGATCGTGAGCATTGTGTGTCTGTTAGCCACCTGAATGTCTTCTTTGGCGAAGTGACTGTTCATATCCTTTGCCCATTTTTTAATTGGGTTATTCGTCTTTTTGTTGTTGAGGTTTTGCAGTCAATATCTTGTAGATTTTAGAGAGTAGATGCTGATTGGATTTGTCAAAAATTTTTTCCCAGTCTGTAGGTTGTCTTTTGACTCTTTTGGTGAAGTCTTTTGATGAGCATAACTGTTTGATTTTTAGGAGCTCCCAGTTATCTAGTTTCTCTTCTGGTGCGTGCGCATTGTTACTGAAAGTATGTTTGTATTTTAATTCTTGACTACAAGGTTGTAACTCATCATCCTGAAGGTAATGTTGTGCTTGCATTATTCATTGATTTATTTCATTCAATTACTCTAAGATTGAATGAACAAGACATAGGTTTTGGCCTCAAGATTTGATAATCTAACAAGCGATTATAATAGCAAACATTAAGTGGGAGCATGCAGAAGATGTCATTGGAGGACATTACCCAGCCTTGCAAGTGGTAGAGAAGACTTGCTGTAGAAGGTTATATCTCAACTGAGTACTGAAGATAAGTAGGAATCATGCATGTGAAGGTGGGAGGTGAGATGGAGACAGAGCACAAGGAAGCATTTTCCAGACAAAGAAGATAACCCAGAGACAAGAAAAAGTATGGCACAATTAGGAAACTGAAATTTGTTCCCTGTAGCTGGAACACAGAGAGTAAGTGTAAAGTCTCTCGGGGTGGGGGAGGGGGGCATAATCTTTGGAGGCAAAGTATTATACAGGGCAATAGTGAGAGATATAGTTCAGGAAATAGGCAGAAGTCAATTCATGAAGGGCCTTGAGTGTCATACTAAGGACTTTGAATTTGATCCTGAAGGCAATGAGGAGACTTTGAAGCGTTCTCAGCAGGGAGTGAGTGACATAGTGATAATGATCATATTTGCATTTTTGAAAGATTACCCTCACTACAGAGTTAGAGAAAGCATTTAAACGGGCCATCCTAGGGTCAGGAAAAGTAGGCTGGAGACTATTGTAGTCATCCATTTGTGAGAGATTGGTGGCTTGAACTAAGCCAGAGGACATGGGAATGGAGAGAAGTGGACAGATTTAAGAGATGGGCAGAATCAACAAGATTTTAATGATTGATTATATGTGGAGTTTGAGGAGGAAAAAAATAAAAAATGATGCTCAGATTTCAGCTGTAGGTGCAGAGCATAGAGAGTGAGACAGGTTCGTAGAGGAAATTGTTAGTTCAGTTTTGGATTTTTTGAATTTGAAGTATCTGTGGAACATCCAAGGAGCCCTGGTGGCACAGTGGTTAAGTGCTTGTCTGCTAACCAAAAAGTCAGTGGTTTGAACCCACCAGCTGCTCTGCAGGAGAAAGATACGGCAGTCTGCTTCCGTAAAAATTGCAGCCTTGGAAACCGTGTGAGGCAGCTCTACTCTGTCCTATAGGGTTGCTCTGAGTCAGAATCGACTCGGTGGTGGTAGGTGGGACATCCAAAAGGAGATGACTATTAAGCACTTGGGTATATGGCTCTGGACATATATTTAGGCTGGAGATAGACATTAGGGAACACTAGCTCCTAGATGGCAATTGGAGCTTAATAAATTATTAGAAAACTTCTAAGATGGACAGTATGAATAAGTTGTGTTCATTGCCTCCTGTTCATGACATTCTGAGGAAATCAGTCATTGGGTGTTAGAGCTTCTAAGAAATACCTGTTTAAAACATTTCTATTATCTGCTTTAGTTCTTAGCATTTTTTTTCACTAGTATTATCTTTTTTTTTTTTAAACTAATTATCCAAATTTTGGCTTTAACAATATGTCATGTATAGAAAGAAATACGACAAAATGAGGTTATTACAGGACTTTTAGAATTAAAGCAAGTTAGGAGTAATGTACAGGTCCCTGGGTTTATGTGATTTAGATTCATCCCAGTTCTGGAAGCAAAATCTGCATGGAAAGTACTTGCAGGAAAAAAAAGTGTGTGTGTATATGTGTGTCTGTACATGTATATTTTAAATAACTTAAACAAGAAATGTGTATTGTTAATAATATTCGGTTTATTTCTAGCTTACAGAGATACTTAAAATTTTATAAAGCAAATGATTTAGATTGTGTATAATATATTTGCAGATCTAAATGTAGAAGTTTAACTGACTTTTCATTGTTATATTCTTTTATCATAAAACCACTAGAACTTTCTTCTGTGCAATTCTGATGTATTTAGATATATTTTAATGTTTCAGCTATATCTAAAATGCAGTTTTCCCTCCAAAATGTGTTTATTTTAAATATTTTCTTTCAGAAAATTGTAGTAACAGTTAAACTTTGCAGAAATTTACCAATAGTTTAATCCTAATTTAGTCTGTAATTTGGATTTTCAGCGTAGTCTTTGTGTTATTATTTTGAATGAGCTGTAACTATCTTATTTTTAAGCTGTGTAAGCATGCATATAATTTAATCTTTGATTACTATGATAGTAATTAGATACACTATGTAATATGTGATTTTTTTTTTTTTTTATAGGAAAATGGTTCTCCTGAAGAACATGCAGTCTATGTGTGGGACCATTTCATAGCCCAGTCTGCAGCTGAGAATGTATTTTTTGTTGCTCACAGTTATGGAGGACTTGCTTTTGTTGAACTGGTGAGTGTATATTTAAATTTATTTTTAATTCCCAATCTCCTTACAGGCTTAGCACCCTCCCTTTTTTGTTGGTGTCATTATTTTAAATTATTTTATAAAGGATGAAAATAAAATATTTTGAGTAAATAATTTCATAATGTTGAAAAAGAAGATATACTAGTTTTTTTTTATGGTGGCAGAGCTTTTCAGTGTTAACCAGAAAGCATTTTGCCTGTTCTTTATTTACATATCCTTTTTTCTACATTATAGCACCAGTTTCCATATATTTCATGATATTTATGTTTCATGTTTTATGTATATACCATTATATTATCTGTAAAGTGTTGAAAAGTCAAGTCTTTTTGAATATTTGACACTATTTTGGCAATCCCTAACTGCCCTTATCTCTGTAAGTTGGTACTTGATATATACAAGTAGTGTTAAAACTCTCAGAAAGCTTCCATTAATCTGCTTCTAACAGGAATGTGTTGCTTGACCAAAAAAAAACTAAAAAACTTTGCATTTCAAAATAATCTGATTCTCAGAGTGAAGATTGTGTATCCAAACATTATCAAGATTTCTGAATCTTGAGTATTCTGAATTTTCTGAATATGCATTATTGCAAGTACCACAATTTTGCGTCACTGGTTACTGTGATCTAATCAGTACTAAAAATGCAGTACTAATCTAATCAGTACTAATGAAGAATTTATGCCTCTGTGTCCATAACCTCTTATATCACAGGAAGTACGAATGTTGTAATAAAATGATCAGTTTGATAAAAGTATATTTGTTCATTTTAACGCCAAATAGAACAAAGTGGACATTAAAAGCAGGCACAACATTGGTTTTCTAATTTTGATGTTTCTGGACTCGGTGTGTATTTCTTTTTGTCATGGAAATTGAATATATTTCTGTGACCTTTTCAACCTCCCTGCCTGTTATTGCTTACCCACATGATTTAGATATAAAACTGGTGGTGACGCCTGAGAATCTTTTAGCCGACCGCAGTCTACAAATGGTTTTGCTATCGTTAAGTTCAATAAACAAGTCAAATCATTTATTTCTTAAGTTGATTTCAGCTTAAAGAATTATTTTCAAGTACTTTTAACTCCTCTTAGTTTATTTTGACATATAATTGAATATCTTAACATAGCTCTTCAACACATGAGTGTGACATTATTTTTAAAAGATGAATTTTGTCTTTCAAATCATTCTTTTCAACTCTTATAGATTGATATAGCTTAATTTTTTCTCTGCAAGCCATTAAATTACTTAAAATGTGAAATTTCATTGACTTGAAGAGGAACTTAAAATACGTCTGAAAGCCTGTAAGACTAATCAAATTTCAGACTTCTCTAAAACATAGATTCTCATTTTTTACTTTAAGACAGTTTATGAAAATCTTTTGTATATCAAATTTGGGATTTAAGTGAATTTTGGATAGTTTTAAAAATGGACTTAAGATGCCAGGGTAACAGATGACCAATGTGTCAGTCCTATTTTGCCTGTCCTTCTTGTCACACACTGGTGGATATTTCTCCACTTTTGTTCCACTTTAATATAAAGCACACAGATGTTTCAGAACAAGACTTGACTTGTGACCTTGAGGCTACTAGGGTCAGGGTCCTCAGGGCCTGTGAAATTATCACAAGCTGAGCTAAAGTTTTTCTCCATCACAGGAAGTAACCAGTAAGTAAGAAGTTAAAAAGGAGCTTTGTCGGAGAGACAAGATGGTCTCAGTAAGGGTCAGCTTCTGTAGTCTGCTATCTCTGCAGGAGGTGCATGCATGGGAGGAGGAATATAATATAACCACTGGCACATCACGTATCTGTCAAACAGCACCAGGGCTGAGAAGTCTATTTAATATAATATACCTTGTTTATGTTTTAAAATATTAATGGTAATTATTTCAACTTTATATAGTTGCTGTTTTATACCGAACTATGATCTGAGTGTAGAGATGGTAGCAACTGGATAGTCATTCCTGGCTTAATAAAATAGAGTGCTCTAAACCAATAACGTTGTACACTGATGCATTTTACATAAATTTTTGACAAAGCTTGATAAATATCTTTAAAACCATTAGGTTTCTATTTAATTTAAAAGGGCTTTAAAAATAGCATTTTTAAAGAAACAACAAAAAAGTTGAAATGTTTTTAAACCTTTTGGTCTTGCCTCAGACTGAATAATATTCATTCCTGTTCTGCCCATATGTTGTTAGGGGGAAAATCATTGTATTTAAAGTGTTGGGGAAAATTCATTCTCTCAGGATTTTTCAACATTATATATGAAATTATTTTACATGGATTCAAATTTTAGTGTCACTTTATAAGAAAATGAACTGTGAATATTAATATATAAATCTTAAACTTTTGTTTTAGTTTTTAGTATCAATACTACATTATACACTTTAGACAGTAAATCCTTTGGATCTCAATTAAGTTTAATTTTTTTTAATTGTCTGTTAAAATTTTACCCCTGATTAAAGACTCTATACACACACCCTTCTCATGAGATAGTCTTAATTTGTAGTGTCATGTTTGAATGCATCAAAATCATTTTCTGCCATCATCATACAAGTTCACATTCTTATTTCTAGGTCATGAATTTCAAGAAAATTTATTTTAAATGTAAACTATGTGGCAAGTGTAGTTTCACCAATAAATACAATTGTTAATAAGGCTTATTGTTTGGATTATAGGTACCAGTCAGGACCCATTTGGATATGCATTTACCATTTACTAAATTATAATTATAGTTTAAAATTAAATGTGCTGCTAATAGATATCTGAAGATAATTACTTTCAGATTTAGAACACATAATAGTTGTAGAGCTTTTATATTTTTCTGATTGTAGTTTTTGAAAACTGAGAATATAATTTATGATTAGCTCCTATCTTAAAGTGTTGAATTTCTCCTGGAAGAATACGTTAGAGTCAGATTTATTTTCAAAACCAGTGTTCATTTTATGGTTGTAAATCTTGGAACTCGGTTATGTCTAGCCTCACGAAACATTATACAGTTCACTATAATAATGAGCAATGGTGATACAAAAAATAGATCTTTTGTACTTTTATTTTCATCATATGGTAACTACTCAAATTTCCAATTCTAAACTTCCTGTGTTCTTAGTAAAAATAGGTGTTGGTAAGACAGCTCTCATACCATTTCTAACATTCAGTCATTAAAGAGTAAAGGGAAGAACTATTTATTTTATGAATTAATAATAAATTTCTGCAAATAATATATGTTTTATATTATCTTTTACATAGAGTAATGCCAAAGCATAAAGTTCTGTTATCCAGTCATCATTTAAGAAGTCTTGAATTTGTCTTAGAAATTGTTTTCTACTTAATAGAACTAGTAGTCATAATCAGAATGCATTTACCAGATTATTTTGGAAAGACATCTATAAATAATACAGCTTATTTTTGCCTTATATAAGTTGTAAATAATTCAGACTCCTTTGTTGGAAGTTAACTTTCATTGTAAAACAATGTAGTTTTTGAGCTTTTTCCTCTTCTCCTCCAGCCACTTTGATGAAGTGATGCCATTACTTTCATTGTTGGCCATTTCAGGGTGCTTTGCTCTAGTCCTTCCAGGTGTTGATCAGTTTGACAAAATCAAGTATCCTTAAAATTTTCTCTTATTTGGAAATGAATTGACTTTCCTTGTCAGTGCCAAGTTTCCAAATCTGAGCTCACCTTAACCTTCTCTGTTTGCAGCGCTCAGTAAATCAGTTTGCATTCGGATTTCTTTCCTTAACCAAAGTGAGAGTCTTCGCATTTTTTTGTAAAACATATTAAACAGTTTTAATAAACACATGTCATTAGTTTATTGAATCATCCCAGCTGATAGAAAATTAGCATTTTCCTATTACTTTTATTTCCTTTTCCATGTTAGTAGTGGTATGTTCACAAACATCATTTAAAACATCACTTAGAAATGTGTGAAAACTGCTTCTTTTGAAAGTGTGCCTCTACCCACTTTTGATTTTGGTTTTTCCATGCTTGTCAGTGCTTGATTGGCACCTTACTTGCATGTGAATTAAGGAATGAAGGGAACTCTATTTTCCTGCTATTGTTCCACGCTGGGCTCCCTGGCCTCCAGGCAGCCTAAGCTGCCCTTCAGCAGCTGATAGAGGACTAGTTTTTGGACATAGCTGTGTGAGGACCCTCAACCTCAGTCTACATTAAGTCGATCTTTTAAAATTGCCTGGAGCATGATTTGGATTTCCACTGAAGAGAAAATGGAACATAACTAAAAAGAATTAGTTTTTACCTTTAGTGATGTCAGTTAACTATGACCTTAAAGATGCATCATTTACATTTTTGTCTAGAAAGAATAAGTAAATTGGATGTGGGTAAGATATGTTTAATGTGATCAGTGAAAATGGCTGAAATCCACTTAAAATTCCACTTTAAATTTAATTTCCACTTAAAAGTGAAATTGTGGTATTTAGACCTAAATTGCTTGTGTGCGTGTGTGTGTGTGTGTGTGTGTGTATGTGTGTGTGTAGAGAGAGAGAGATTGTTAACTTGCTCTTTCTAGAGGTTAGTATGGGATTGCCAAGTTGGGCTGCTGAGAATCAAGAATTGAGGGGAATTAAAATAAGGGGAAGGAGACTTGGTGGCACAGTGGTTAAATGCTTGGCTGCCAACCAAAAGGTCAGTGTTTCGAACCCACCAGCAACTCTGTGAAAAAAGATGTGGCAGTATGCTTCCATAGAGATTACAGCCTTGGAAACCCTATGGGGCAGTTCTACTCTGTCCTATAGGGTGGCTATGAGTCAGAATCAACTCAACAGCAATAGGTAGGTAGTAGAATAAGGCGGAATGAACCAAAGAAAAATTGAGCCATATTATTATCAAAATAATTGAGGCCAAAAACACTCCCTCCCAATCCACTTTAAAATCTAGGTGATAAAGTTAAAATGTTGTTGTTGTTCTTAGGTGCTGTTGAGTTGGTTCCGACTCATAGGAACACTTTGTACAACAGAATGAAACACTGCCTAATCC